CGACAAATACATAAAAATGACAGCTACGTCGGATTCAGGCATACCAACATTACGAATGTCGAAGATGGCCTCCGAATTTCGAAATTACGATACGACAACGCGGATTTCAGTATACCAATTTTACGATTCGTAGCAAAATCGAAGCTACGACAGATTACAGCATAGGGGTGTATGGGAAGTATGGTTTAAAACCCGACCAATCAATTTATATCCTAATTTTCTCCGAAAAATTAATGGGGCTGAGCCACTGTGCGCCGTAATACTATTTATTCAAAATATTTACAAAACAGGCGTTTTATTTTTGATAATTTAATTTTTATTTTTCCATTTAAGATATCATAAATCGATTATACATGTGTAGCAATAGTAATATGTTATTTATATTGATAATAGGGCAATTCATCTAAACGCGTAAATACCTCGTAACCATGTAAACCTCATTAACTTACTTAATTTTAAATGGAAAACCGGTTTATTTACGAGGCTTACGTGGTTGCGGGACATTTACACATTTTGATGAATACCCTGAATATGATTATTTATACAAATATTATATCATTTTATATTTGATCTTGTTTTGGACTTCAAAAACCAAATATGTATACTTTATATAAACACATATGTACACTGGTGATCAAAACTGAACGAATGTTATTTTTTTAAATATTCACAATGTTCTTCAACAAAATGTTTGTTTATTTTTTATGACAATAGTTATTGTTCATGTTTTAGCCAAAAATATTTAAATCAAACTTTAAACTTTATACAGAATTTAGAAAAATTCAACAAATTTTTAGTAAATTTTCAAAGATTTTAATCTGAATCTTTGATAATTTTCGGTATGCAGCTTTATAGCATGTTAAGTTTTAGTACGATAAAGTGCAAGTTTTAAACTGCTACAAAAACGCATAGATTTTTAATAATTTTTTGGCAGGCGGCTTCACGGTTTTTATTTTCAAATAACCAGTCATAAAAACTGGCGTTGACTGTTTTTATTTTTTTGCAAACGGTCATGCGCATTTTCTGCTACAAGAAATTCATGTTTGTTTAAACATCCGTTATTGCTAGCACGTACTGTATTAAAATTTCATAAGCCATGTAACTGTGTAGCCAGATTAAATGGTTCAAAATTTTGATGAAAAATCGTGGGATTTTCTAAATTCTACATAAAGTTTTATTAATGCGGGTTTGTTAATGCATGAACCATATTGTTATAAAAAATAACAAACAAAAATGTAAGTTGAAAAACATTGTGAATATTAAAAAACGCCATTAATCCAGTTTTAACCGCCAGTGTATGTACACTGGTAGTCCGATGATTAGAAACAATGGCGCATAATCATAGTCAAGAAGAAGTAATAGGATTTAAACTAATCTATATATTAAGTGAATCATAATCGTGTTAGTACCTGCTTTTTCCCTTACAGCCGACTCCAAAGTTAGAGTGACGAAAATCTGTTACTAAGACTAGCACTAAATCTGACAAGCGTAAAGCTATTTAATTTTTCGTGTTAATTTTTCACATTTATGTCGGAATTTTATGTATTATTTGTGCAAATGCCTTTTAGATATGAATAAAAGTAAACAAAATTTCGGGATTTCAATAGACGAAGAATTATTAAAAATGCCGAAAAGCCATTTATGAATGTTGAGTGAAAATGGCATTGTAAATAAACCTTTGAAAAAAAGTATTTCATGAGTTTGATTTTATTAAATAACGTTTATTTTTACCAATTTTAATTATTGTTGTTGTAGGCTAGTCGATCGATTGCGTTTGTGTGCAAGAAAAAGTACTATCACTATGGAATCAGAGAACAATTTAGGTTTACAATTTTTGGATGTCATGATCCACCGGAAAAGTAATGAAATTCTACTTGACTGGTACTCAAAGCCTACTTCCTCTGGGCGTTTAATAAATTACTTGTCTTCGCAACCCTTAAAGTACAAAGTCAACACTGCTAAAAATCTGATTCACAAAATACTAACAATAAGTCACCAACAGTGTTGCTACAAAGATTTTTAATTTTTTACCAAACCTCTAATAAAATTACCAAACTCAGAAAAAAATTACCAAATTTTTATGAGCATAATATTTAAACAAATTGGAAATTATTTTTCGACGTATGTAGACAATTATTTTGGCAACGACTGAACTACATCACGTGTGGGATTGTGACCAGCTTAGATCTATTTATATTTTTCGAGCGAAAGATGAGTTCTTCCTCTTGTTTTATAACAAACTCATACAAATTCATATCACCATCTACAGAGCATTTAGATAACGAAGATGAACAATTTGCAGCTGTGGTTGTCCTTTTCAATGTGTTCCGACTATAACAATTCACAGATATTTTTAAAACATGAAACAAAAAAACCACTCAGAGATTTATAAACATTTAAAAGGTGTTTAATAGTTCATTTTACATAACTTAAAACCACATCATGAAACCAGCAAATGTATCGTTAAACGATAGATAAAATTTACTTTTACAACTTTATAAATGGGTCACATTCGTATTTAATCGCAAAATTTTAATTAGTCCTGTGAAATTATTTTCTTTCACCAATGGTTCCGGCAGGATAAAATGATCCAAAACCCTGATTTTGGGACTGTAGGGGCTGTGATCGAGCCGCCATATTAGGAAAAATGGGTGGTTTCCTTAAATTGCTATATTGCGAACTCATACTAAAAGTTCTGAGCTGTCAAGGCAAATTGTTACATTAAAGAGCCCTTTAAATTTTTGGATCTCTTAAGGGGTATACACATATATATGTAAGTACATAAGCAAATTGTGCAATTATAAGAAGATTCAAAATCATAAATTTTTATAAGTAATAGGTTAGTATTAAAAACTTAAAAGAAAAGACTTACGTTGAAAAAATTACCACATTGAAAAAAAAATACCAAATTACCAAACTCGTTCTAAAAAGAAAAAAATTACCAGTTTTGGTAAAAAATTACCAAAGCGGCAACGCTGGTCACCAACAATTCAAAACCCCAAAAACATAATGAAAATAAACAAAATTCTTGCAAGCAACAACTACCCGCACCAC